GAATTAAATAATGGTAAATAAAAAGCAAAACCCAAATTAAAAGCAATAGCAAAACAAAATAAAAACAAAAACAAAGACAAAAAAATCCCAAAGCCCTAAAGGCAGTGACTGCTAACCCTCTGCTGAGCTGTGAATGAGAACTTCCATATTGTTGGTTGTAGCAGGATATCTAGTCAGATGAAAGTGTTTTAGCTGTGCGCTTAACAAACAAAAATGCTGGGCTCTCCATTAAATAAGCATGCCAAATAAACAACGAACACTTCCAGCATCAGCATACCCTGTGCAGTGTGCTGTCTGGCACCCCTGAAAGATATATTTACCATGCTCCCTTGTAGCAGGGATAATTAAGGATGTGGTGGTTTGAATGAAAATGTTCCCCAGACACCAGCTGAAAAACTTTGAAAGGATTAGGAGGTGTGGCCTTGTTAGAGGAGATGCATCAGCTGGAGGTGGGCTTTGAGGTTTCAAAAGCCCACACCAGTCCTAGGGTCACTTTGTCTGTCTCCCGCCTATGGATCAGGATGTAAATCTCTCAGCTACTGTTCAACTACCATGCTGGTCTGGTTCCTGCCATGATGATCATGGACTAACCCTCTGAAACTGTAAACAAGCTCCCAATTAAATGCTTCCTTTTATATGAGTTGCCTTGGTCATGGTATCTCTTCATAGTAATAGAACAGTGACAGATGTGTAACCAACTCTACATATATGTCTTCTCATCCCAGATAAGGAGTCCACAACAATCTCAAGTACAGATCTTATAAAAGTCCAACTTGGTGAATTATTAGGGTTCTCAAGAAGTCCCACAAAAGACCACCATTCACGTATGCAATTAGCAAGAGCATTTATTATCTTGAGAGTTCTAGCATGCTGGCACCACACATCTGACACAAAGGCAAAATGGCAACCACGAGAGAAGCTTGCAGGCTCTTTTATACACAGCTAAAGGAATATAGGCAGTGCGGTCATTCTATCTAGGGTTGGCTTACACCAGTGGTAATCAGTATGTTTCTGATTAGTTAGGGATAGTAGGGGTTGACTAAATGTTTCTGATTAGTTAGGGATAGTAGGGGTTGGCTAAGGCTACAGTTTTTCCATTTGGGGACTGGCTCAGGCCTTACATGTGCAGTTCCCCTCATCCTTGCTGTCGGGGTTGGCGGGGAGGTGTTGGTGATGGATTGACCTTCGTTTATGCTTCCTCAGAAACTGTCTGCTCAGTTTCAAGAGGTAGGAACTGAAGCCTAGTTCTTAACTGAGTTATTAGGAGCCTGTCATGGTATTTGCTTGGCCTTCTCAGAACCAATGAATTTTACTTGTAATGGAGTTCCTTACAGAATATGGGTGAGGGGTTGCCTACAGGACCAGAAATGACTCAAGAGAGCTGCATCACCAAAGCCCACCCCAGCACAGGTGACAGCTCACAAAGCTGGGAACCGGGACACACTGCACAGCCTGCAGGCAGCTCAGCAGGTTGGAGAGCGTCCTCTCCAGGTGACTCAGTTGGTCTAAACCTCTTCCAGGCAGCCTGGCTGGTTTCTGCTTCTTCCAGATAGCTGGTCTGTCTTCCGAGTCTTCTTCGCAGCTTGGCTTGTCTGAGTCTTCTTTATAGCTTTCCTGTCTGAAAGTGACACTTGGCAGCTTTATTGCTGACTTTGGGAGGGTGGGGCCTAATGAATCTGATCAGTTTCAGGGACTCTCTGAAGCTATTTTGAGTTGTTTGCTTTCTGCTTAAGGAGCTTCCCTGTAGGATGGAATGTTTCAACCTCAAAAGAAAACTATTTCACGGCAGTGACTAAGACAGTAGAGCCTTCTAGAATTGTCTTAGGAAAGTGTCTCCCCAGATACATCCGCAAGTCCTTTTCTCTTCCCGCTTCTTTCTGCTGACATGCTAACATGCTGTGGCGTCTGGTGATCCTGGGGTGTTGTGGAATATTACTTTAACTGTGTAAAGGTGTGTTACATTTGTTTATGCTATGGGATATTACTTTAACTGTGTAAAGATGTGTCACATTAAAAAAAAAAAAAGCCGGGCGGTGGTGGCGCACGCCTTTAATCCCAGCATTCGGGAGGCAGAGCCAGGTGGATCTTTGTGAGTTCGAGGCCAGCCTGGTCTACAGAGCGAGATCCAGGAAAGGCGCAAAGCTACACAGAGAAACCCTGTCTCGAAAAAACCAAAAAAAAAAAAAAAAAAAAAAAGATGTGTTACATTTGTTTATGCTATGGGATATTACTTTAACTGTGTAAAGGTGTGCTACATTGTTTCTGCTGCATTTGTTTAGTTATGTAAAGATTTGTTGCATTTGTTTCACCTTGCCTGCCTAAGGCACCAGACTGATCTAATAAAGAGCTGAACAGTCAATAGCTAGACAGAGAAAGAATAGGTGGGGCTGGCGGGAAGAGAGAATAAGTAGGAGGAGAAATCTAGGAATGAGAAGAATGAGAGACAAGAACAAGGGAAAAAGAGAGGAACAAACCTGGGACCAGCCAGGCAGCCGCCAGCCAGCAGACAGAGTAAGACATTCAGAAAGAAAGGTAAAAAGCCCTGAGGCAAAACATAGATGAAGAGAAACAAGTTAAAAGTTAAAGAAAAAAAAAGCTAACCAGAAACGAGCATAAGATAAGGCTGAACATTCATAACTAATAAGTCTCCATGTCATGATTTGGGAGCTGGTTGGTGGCTCAAAAGGAAAAGCCTGGTACATGGGGGCAACTTTGAGAACAGACCCTGTGCGGGGGGCAGGACTGCAGACAGATTGGAGACTAGTAACTGTTGCTGGCCTCACAGAGCAGCTGTGCTGCCTAGACTTATCTTACACAAGAGGAAACCCATTTCTAATTTGTGGAAGCCAGCTATTTGGGCTTATATTTCAAGGTTTTGCAACTCAGTCCTAACCCAAATAGTCCAAGTGTCATTAGAAAAGGTCAGAAGGTCAGACCCCCTTGTCAAAATCTGCCATCTTCATTCAAATAGTATAGGACAATTGTGATGACTATTCTTGTCAACTTGACTGCATCTGGAATTAACTAAAACCCAAGTGACTGGGCACACCTGTAAGGGATTTTTCTCTTAATTAAGTCCTTTGAAGTAGGGAGACCCACATTTAATCCGGATCTTCTAAGGTGGAACAATACACCTATAATCCATATCTTTCAAGGAGGAAACATCCACTTTTAATCTGGGCCACACCTCCTGCTGGCCGCCTGTATAGAGGAGATGGAAGACGGAAGCTCTCCCTCTGACTGCCTGCTCTTGCCAGCAAGTCCTTGTCTTCAACTGGCATCAGAACCTACTTTTCAGGGATTCCAGCCTATACTGGAGAGCAGCTCAGACATTCAGGCTTGTAGACTGAACAACTACTGGATTCTTGGACCTTCTGTTGATAGAGAGCCTTTGTTGGGCTAGCTGGGCCACAGTCTGTAACCCACTCTAATAAATCTGTGTGTGTGTGTGTGTGTGTGTGTGTGTGTGTAAACACACACACATTTTTTTTCTATAAGAAGATGGGTACTGATCAAGCTTGAGTAACCTGATTGAACCTGCTGTCCATACATGGGGCCACCCTGGCTTGAGAAACAGGTGTATGTGTTCTCCCCTGAACTGTGCTGCCTAGTTGCTAACAGCTGGTCACAAACTTGGATTGCACTGGGACAAAATTTTCACATCTACAGTGAAATGAGACAAGAACTAGTTTAGACAACTCCAGGGTTTAGTCAAGGTGTTCGCGACTTTTCTTTTCATCGGGATCAGGATCTGGCAGGGAACAGCTTGAGGGTGGTCGTATTTCTTTTGGCTTGTGTTTTGAGGGGATACAGTCCATCACAGGGAGGGCATGGTGGTCTGTGGTTCTGCAGCAGCAAGAGTGTGGGGCAGCTGGTCACTGCACTGGCAGCCAGGAACAGGACGAGCTGGAACGCCCAGGACGAGCTGGAACGCCCAGGGTCTCTTCCCCAGTGGCCACTTGCGCTAGCAAAGCTCCCTTGCCGAAAGGTCTTGTACTCAACCGAAACAGCATCAGCTGGGAATACTGTCTCACACATGAGCCTACAGGGGACATTTCACAGGTAAATCAGGGCCACTGTGGGTACCGACCTTGAAGTGAGACATTTGCCACCGAGCCAAAAGTGAGGTTAAATGAGCTAGTGCCCAGTGGGGCTAAATGTTTTGTGGCAGGTCTTAAGGCTGTTTTCTTTCTTTTTCCTCTTCTTTCTTCTTCCTCCACAGCTGTTCCATTTCAATTCCCAAAGACACATCTTTTTTGTTTGTTTTGTTTTGAGACAGTGTTTCTCTGTGTAGCCCTTGGCTGTCCTGGAACTCACTCTGTAGCCCAGACTGGCCTTGAACCCTGAGATCTGCCTGTCTCTGCCCCCCAAGTGCTGAGATTAAAGGCGTGTGCTACCATCACCTGGCCCAAGACACATCTTAAGGTCCCAAGGGATCCATCCATTGCTTTATTGGTGGCAACTCTTCAGTCCCCTCCACCCCAGACTTTCCATCATCTATTCTCTCCCCCCAGTTCTTAGTTCAGAAAAACCAACGCTGGATGTTATCCTCCCCCAAACTGCTCTCTCTTCACACTCGCTTTTCTCTAGAAGACTCCACAGTGGCTCTTGCTTTCGTTACTCTGCTTTCCACTAACCTACTCAGTGCAATTGTCAGCCAGCAACTCCAGCATACACCAGACACAAAACATGCCTGGAACCCCACCAGGAACATGGTGCCGATAAGCCTGGACTTACCACAGGAGGTTCATTGTCTATGTGGAGAGATTGAAATTAGCCCATCTCATTTTATCGTCTGTAACTATTTTGAATCCTAGTTAGAGGATCGGCTTGGGGACATTTGGCATAAGTAGTCGCTGTGCAAGTTTGGAAGTGGAGGCTGAGGCTGAGTTGGTGTTTGGTATCCAGAGAAGACAGAAACCTTGAGAGGAGGTGTCGTCTGATCTTTCCAAGGGAGCCAGGGCAATGGCTGAACAAACCAGCACCTTTAACTGGAGTTATTTACAGGAACGTGGGCAACTGATAGGCAGCTATCCCGTCCAGAAAATCCCTTCCTCCTCAACAGCTATTGACTGGTTGGGGATCAAAGGGGTCTCATGCACCTGTCTGCCTTCTAGGAAAGACCGTCCATGGACAGTGCCAGGACCTCTTTTCAAATTATTTATTATTTATGATGTGTGCTTGTGCCTGGAGGACAACTTTCAGGAGTCAGTTCTCACCTTCCACCTTGTTGAGGTGGAGTCTCTTGGGTCTACCCTGTGCTGACTGAGTACCCCAGGCTACCCCTATTCCTTGAGTACCCTATGCTTCCCCTACCCCTTGAGCTTCTGGATGACTCTCCTGTCCCCATCTCCCAGCTCAGACTAGGCGCGCCCCTACATCTGGCTTTTACCTGATTCTGGGGATCGAATTCAAGAGTCAGGCCCGAGAAGCTATCACCCCTACCTGCTGAGTCACATCCTCTGCCCTTGTGAGGATCTCCTGTAGGCGATCACATCGGCTCTGTTTTCGAGATGACGATGGCTAGAGGGTAGCAGCACGATTAGTCTTGGAGAAGGCTTTATGCTGACGGGGAAGATGGTTTTAAGGGGACTATGGTGTTGACGTGAGTCGGTGCCAGCCAACTGAAAAAGAAATGGGACTGGAGGATGGGTAACAGTAGAAATAAACAAATGGTGAGTTGAAGTTTTGGGTTTTTTCCCCCCGAAGTTTGCATTTCTCTAGAAGTCCCTGGCATCACTAAGGTTTCCTCTGTTTAAAGATTTTGGCTCATTGATTCCTAGATGGTAAATTGGGAAGAGCCAATGATTTAACCCTCTCTCCTGAGGCTGACTAATGGAGAGGCTCTGTAGCTGATGCAGAGACTCAATCCGCATTCTCCAGGGAAGTCTGAAACACTGGGTTAGCAGCTCAGGGCCCTGGTGAGCTCACCACACTGTTGCTGCTCTTACATGCTGAGGGCTCCCGTAGGTGGAGTATCACCAGTGTGCTAGAGAAAACTCCCTCCTCTAAACAGGGAAATCCATTCAGTCTCTGTAGACGAGTCAGAAGCAGTGAAGACCACAGCTGATAGGCTGGCTGTCTCTGTTAGTGCAGGGAGAGGTGCCTGGCTGCTGTCTGCGTCTCTGGCCTGGGCTCAGAACATGGAGCTGACTAGTTAATTCTAAGTCAGTTGAGAACATAAAAATGGAGTCTAAAAATAGGAAATGTCACCTAATGGAGAATACATTTGGGTATTAGCTAATTGAAGAAAACCAATGAATAATACGTTATCCTAATTGGTTTATTTAAGTCTAACCAATGTTTATTACTTTTATTTAAAGTCAATGTTTGTTCTTTACTTGTAATTAAGACTTCCCACCTCAGCTTCACTCTCACAAAGAGAAGAAACTTGATTTAGAACTGACAGTGAGGAATTTTATTAACTTTTTTCAATGATGTTTTTAGCTTTTAAAGCTTCATTTTTTTTTTATGTGTATGTGTGGTTTGCCTTCAGGTTTGTGCACCATGTCCTTGGAGGCCAGAAGATCTCCTGGAACTTGATCATGAGCCACCCTGTGGATGCTAGGAATTGAACCCAGGTCCTCTGGAAGAGCAGCCTGTGTTGTAATCACTGAGCCATCTAAGACAAGAATGAATTAAGTTAGCATTAGAAGGTTATCCCTTTAAACGTTTTGTAGCCAGACTGGCCTCTTGGACTCACACCAATCTCCCTGCCTCAGCCTCTTGAACACAGTGATTACAGTTTTGAGACATCACATCTGGTTCTTAATATTTTATAATAGTCACACATTATGTTTTATGTACATAAAACACAGATAATGAATAAAATATGTACAAAAAGGTTATGTGTATATACACAAATAATTAATGGGGCCATGTTCCACAAACTGTTATTATGCCCAAGATACCCTGAATCGGTGGGGCATGGTAGTGTATATCTTTAACCACAGTACCCAGGCGGCAGAGGCAGGGGGATTTCTTTGAGCTCAAGGCCTGTCTGGTCTATATAGCCAGTTCCAACCAGCCAGTTCTATGCAGTCTTAATCCAATAATGATACTGAGATTAAAACCAGCTCTTTCCTTCTATCATTCTGACATTTGAGGTCTCATGTAGCCCAGGCTGGTCTCAAACTTGCCATATAGTAGAGCAGTGGTTCTCAACCTTCCTGATGCTTCGACCCTTTAGTACAGCTCCTCATGTGTGGTGACCCCCAACCATAGAATTATTTTCATTGCTGCTTCATAATTGTAATTTTGCTATTGTTATGAACTGTACTGTAAATATGCAGGATACCTGATATACAACCCCTCTGAAAGGGTCAGTCAGCCCCCAAAGGTTGAGAACCATGGTAGCAGAGGATGACCTTGAACCTCTGACCTTCCTGCCTGCACCTCTTGACTACTGCACTCTTACCTGCTAAGACATCTCACTTACATCAGCCACAAGCTGTTATTTTTAGATATGCTAATGATATTTTAACTAAATATCTTCTATATAAATGTTTTTTTTTTCAAGTAGTAAATGTCTTACTTTCCGTAGTCTATCTTCAATTACCATTATTCTACTTTTCAAAACCATTATCTGGCTCTCATCCTTTGGGCTTCTCTTTGCATAGATTTTATTTGTACATTCAGTGACACTGTTCCTGGGGAGGCAAGAACATATATGATGTCTCCTGTCTCCAGATGGAGAATTGATAAGAGGCCAAAGTAAGCATATCACTGAAGTCTAACTTGGTGAATGAATACATTTACTGGGTTTACTTACTTTCAGAAGTGACTCAAGGAAAGCTGCATCACCAAAGTCCTCTCCAGCATGGGAGGTTGCTCACAAAAATCAGAATCCTGGAGCTCACTGTATGACTTGAAGGCAGCTCTACAAGTTGGAGATTGTCTTCTAGGGAGCTTGGTTTGTCTGCACCTCTCTCAGGTCTCTGTCTCCTCAGCAGTCCTCTTGCTTACATAATCTTGGAAATGGAGATGGTCCTTGTACATCTGGTCAGTTTCAGGAACTTCCCAAGACTCTTGAGTTGTTAACTTCCTATGCTGGGTAGTTTTATGTCAACTTGATGCAAGCTAGAGTAATTGGAGAGGAAGGAGCCTCAGTTGAGAAAATGCCTCCAAAAGATCTAGCTACAGATAAACCTGTAGTGCATTTTTTAAAATTAGTGATGGATGGAGGGCTCAGCCCATTGTGTGTGGTGCTGCCCCTGGACTGGTGGTCCTGGGTTCTATAAGAAAGCAGGCTGAACAAGTCATGGGGAGCAAGCTAATATGCAGCACCCTTCCATGGCCTCTGCATCAGCTCCTGCTTCCAGGTTCCTGTCCTGTTTGAGTTTCTTTCCTGACTTCCTTCTGTGATGGACAGTGATGTGGACTGGTAAACCAAACCCTTCCTCCATAAGTTGCTTTTGGGTATGGTGTTTCATCACAGCAATAGTAATCTGGTCTAGGCTACTTCTGAGTCTTAAAGAGTGAGCCTGCCTTTTAATTTCCTAAATATTATTGAGTTTTGGAGAAACTGCTACATAACACTAACACACAAAGTGAAAGCAGCCACTAGGAAAGGCCACACCTGTATGATTCCGACTCCAGGAGAAAGCAGGGAGGGAAAAGTGGTGGAAACAGCAAAGAGGTCAGTGAGTGCCCGGGAAGGGACAACCAGGCAACGCACAGAGGACTTTTTGGGGTGGGATTGCTTTGTGTGCTGCTACAGTGGTGCAGACACAAGTCACTGGGCCCTTTCCAAATCCACTGAAGGCACCCCACCAACACTGAACCCCAGTGGAGGCTGGGCTTTGACTCCTCAGCTGGAGTCGTCCAGGTTGTCATTTGTAACACATGCGTCACTGCAGGACTAGATGTGGACAATGGGGTGGGGGTCCAAGGGTAGGTGGGCCTTCTCTGCGCTTTCCACTCAGCTTTGCTGAGAACCCAAACCTGCTCTAAAAAAATAAAGCCTATTAAAAAAAACTTGCACACCTCTATCCTGGCATGCAGGGGGCAGAGGCAGGTAGATCTCTGAGTTTGAGTCCACCCTGGTCTACAGAGTGAGTTCCAGGACAGCCAGAGCTACACAGAGAAACCCTGTCTCAAAAAACCAAAACAACAACAACAACAACAACAACAACAACAAAAAGTGTTAGCTTAAAAACAGGTCTCAGAGTCAGCGAGCTGGGGCTAAGTACTGATCGGCAGAGCTAGACATCAGCTGTGCTTCCCTATTAAGTCAAGTTAGCTTTCTCCCCTGGCGTTGTCCCTCCCACCCACCCTCTTCATGCTCCTGCAAGCACTCAGTTGCTTGTTTTTGTCTATACTTAACTTCTGATCTCATCTTAGTACTTCCATGTTTGGGGAAGACACACTTAGAGCCTAGCCCGTGGCAGCCGCTGCCAGGGTGGGGTCATCAGAGCATAAGAGGCATTTGTAGAACGGGCCACCCATGTGTGCTTCCTGTCTCTCCGCTGTCCTCCTTCCTGTCCCTTCCCCTCTCTCCTTGTTGACCCCAGCCCTCAGGTGCTCTGGCTCTAGAACTCTTGGGCCCTCAGCAAGACAGACATCCAGGCTAAGTAGAAATTACCACCACTCGCAGGCTCTGAGTTTCCTCTGCCTTCTTCCAGTCCCCAAAACTCAAGCCTGGCCTTTGGGTATGACTGGAGGTACAGAGGAGACCCCCAGACCTCCTCTTCCCTCTCCAGTTAGGGTCCACTTCAGAGGGTATATTCATATTTTTCCTGTTGCTATGATAAAATACCCCAACAAAAGCAACAAAGGGAAGCTTTATTTTGGCACACAGTTTTAGGGTACAGCCCATCATGGCTGGGAAGTCATGGTACATTAGGAGCAGTTGGTCACATTGCTTCCACAGGAAGGAGAGAGGGATAAATTCTGTGTTCACCTCACCTCCTTTCTCTTCAGCCCAGGATCCCAGCTCACAAGAGTATTGCTGACTATACTTAAGTTGAATTTGCCCTTATTTAACCTAACCAAGATAATCCCAGGTGATTCCAGACCCCGAGGTTGACACCCCAATGGTAGCTACCACAGAGGGCTTTTATCTGGGAAGGGTGCAGGGCTGATGAATCCAGTGCCTGGCAGTGGCAGGAAGACACTTACCACTGAGTCACACCCTCATCCTTTACAATTGGTCAAGAGGGCTTTACCAACTGTAGTCTGGTTTCTGCAGCTGGTGAAGGCAGGTTCCTTTCTCTGTAAGTGCAACCTGATGCCCCAAGAGTCTTCCTCTTAAAGACCACACTTCCCATTCACCCCACCCAAGAAAGACAGACTGTCCATGGATCAGAAACCTTCTTTCAGTGGGGCGAGTTCCAACTGGAACACACATTCTTTCCGCTCCAATGCCAGGCTGCCTTATGAGAGCAGGGGAAGAAGCCAGGCAGCCACGGGCCCATGGGGTGATGGGAGGTCTCCCAGGGCAACCACTCCCCCCAAAAGCCATCGACCCTGCCCCCTCCATGGGCCATTTCCTGCCTGTGCAAGCAGCCCCTCCCAATCCCTGAATCTATCTTAGTTCAGAAGCATCCTTGGGGATTCGAGGTCGCTGTGTGGCCAGAAGGTCTTGAACAAAAATATATGGTCCCTGGGGTGTGACTCCATGGCAGCTCCAGAAAGAGCCTGGGTTATTTTAATCTTGTAATAAATAGTCCAGGCCTGTGCCAAACGTGAAACAGTCTCGTATCTATCCTGTTTCAATGTGTGAGCAAACGCAGAAATCCTACGGTGGTGGGGACCTTAACGGCTGGGTTCTCAGCCAGACTGGGAGTGTGCCTGTTTGAGTTCCCTATTTGAACTGCCCTCTCACCGCCTTGGAAGCTTTCTCCTTCCCTGGCAAGCCAGACCCACCCATCTCAGCTCCCCAACTTTCATTTGCAGACCACAATCAAGTCTGGAAAAGATTTGATTAATTCGAACAGGTTTGGAACAAACGAGAATTGAAGTTATGCTGGGAAAGATGACGACGAGAAAAAGTGTGGAACAGAAATGTTCATAAAACTAGAACAGAAATAGAAAATTTGGAAAAGAAACCATGCTGTTACGGAAGAGAGTCACGCTGGGTGAGCTGTCAGAGGCAATAGACCCCTGAAATCCGCAGGTGGTTGGTGGTTGGTGGGTACGGAGTAGAGGGAGATTCCTCAGCGTGGTAGCTGCTCGCTAGGTCCATGCCTGCGCCAGTGACCCTAATTAAATGACTGGTTCACCAAGCTAGGTGAACAGAATCTGTCTTTGGTCTGCTGTTGGTGTCCTGTCTGTTTGCCCTCCCGGAGACGGTCACACGATGCGTGCATATCTGAAAACAAGGCTCTTCCGAATTGATAGCAAACCTGGACATAGAATTCTAAGCTGAAACCCACTTTCCCTCTGAGTGTTGACACTGATGCGGACTCTGGAGTGCCTTTGATGGTGATACACATGCTCAATCAGCATGTTTGTTTGTACACAACTGTATGTGTGCATGTGTGGGTGTGCATCTACGTGAGTGTATGTGTGAGTACACTTTGTGTGTGTGTGTAGTGTACACTTTGTATCCAGAAGCTTTTACATGCCTGTTTGTGTCTCCAGATTATATTACTACTCATGGTGACTCTGAGCATGGTGTGGATCTGCTGATGTGGGCTTCTGTTCTAAATAAATTTAAATAAAATAAAAAAGAACACAAAAACAAAAAAAAAAAGGGTGGTTTTTTTTGTTTGTTTGTTTGTTTTGTTTGTTTTTTGGTGCTAGGGATTGAAGTCAGAGCTTTATGTCCAGTGAGGCTACTGATATGGGTTTATTTATTTTGGTGTATGTGTGCATAGTATAGGTGTGTGTGCATGCACAATCTGTTGTATGGAGGCCAGAGGTCAACGCCAAGTGTCTTCTTGTTGTGGGATATATTTTAACTGGGCAAAGATGTATTACATTTGTTTATGCTCCAGAATATTACTTTAACTGTGTAAAGGTGTGTTTCTTTTGTTTGTGATGCATTTGTTTAATTATGTAAAGATATGTTGCATTTGTTTCACCTTGCCTGTCTAAGGCACCTGATTCATCTAATAAAAAACTGAACAGTCAATAGCTAGGCAGGAGAAAGGATAGGAGGGGCTGGTAGGCAGAGAGAATAAATAGGAGGAGAAATCTAGGTTCAAAAAGCATGAGAGAAGGGGAGAGAGAGAGGGACATGCCTGGGCAAGAAGCCAGGCAGCAGACAGGGGAAGCAGTGAAAGTAAGGTGTGCAGAAGGAAAGAAAGTAAAAAGCCCCGAGGCAAAAGGTAGATAAAGAGAAACAGATTAAGTTAAAAGTGCTATCCAGAAATGAGCCTAAGCTAGCCTGAGCATTCATAACTAATAACAAGTCTCTGTGTCATGATTTGCAAGCTGCTTAGTGGCCCCAAAGAAAAGGCTTCTTCTATTGTTCTCTACTTTTTTTGAGACAGGATCTCTTACTGAACCCAAAGCTCACTGATGGTTGGGCTGGCTACCCAGCAAGCTCCAGGGATGTAGATGCCTTTGATCCCAACACTGGGGAGGAAGAGACAGGCAGATATTTGTGAGTTTCAGGCCATCCTCATTTACATATAGTCCCAGAACACATAGGGCTACATAGTGAGAATCTGTCTCGAAAAATAAAACAAAATGAAACAAAACGAAAGTTAGAGAGTTGGCTCTTTAGTTAAGAGCACTGGCTGTTCTTCTAGAGAGCCCAGGTTAGAGTCCCAGCTCCCAGTTGCCAGCACACAGCTGTGTGGAATTACAGTTCCAAGGCACTCGATCTCTTTGGTCCCCATAGGAACCAGGCATGCATGTGGTGCACAGACATACATGCATGTGGTGCACAGACATACATGCATGTGGTACACAGACATACATGCATGTGAAACACCCATACACATATTTTTTAAGGTGCCTTGTGTCTGAGGAATGACAATGAGGGTTGTTCTCTGTCACACACATGTGTAAACACAATTGCTTTGGGATCTTTGGATGAAAGTAGTGTTTGTAAAGGTCAAACCTTCTTCTTTGGTCAGCTGCAACAATATTCTAAACACTTTTCTGATTGAGCACAGGGAGCTCTCCTT